AGTCGTTGCAATGTATGTTGATGTGATGTATGTACATCTTTTAAGAAACTACAGTTGAACACTAATTGGATATGATGTGCTCATCTTGTAACTTGTTAGTCTGAATGAAGCAGCAGTGATTGAAGGTGGATGTACTATGCTTCGATCCCAGTAAACATATTTGCATATGGTCTTACTTAAGAAAACCTACATTATTGTTTCACCAATCCTTATGAATGATTGAAACATTTACAACTAAAAGAAAATCAAATATATATCATGTACAAGATGCAGTGCCAAGCCTCATTCAACATTTTCTTCCTGCAAACCCTGACCAGCTGGGACAACAGCAGCCCAGCAGGTTGCCTTTCAAACTCCCACATCATCCTTATTATATTCTATTAATAGTCCTTCTCCGATTCTGGGTCAGAAATCTAGCATTCCTTTCCTAACGGCATTCCATATGTATGTACATCAGACGGTCTGCAATGGGCCAAGAAACAATTCACCACTATCTTTGAGGGCAGTTAGGAATGGGTAACATTGCTTGCCTTGCTAGCGACGTCCATGCTGTAAATTGTATACAGAAATTTTGGTCTGCAGCAATTCCACCAGAAGACTGCACTTGAAAATTTTGGGACTCACTTTATCCATATATTACTGAAAAACACTATATACTTTTGGTTTCTCTCATTCTAGTTTAAGTCTCCATAGTGCTAGTTAATTCTACTTCTTCATCTCCTCCTGTCAATCATCCATTCCTGTACCAATAATGTTTTCAATTCTATCGTCATCACATCTTTCCACCTGGTCTTAGACCTTCCTATTCCTGGCACTCATGTCTCTTTTCACTCACCTCTTCACACTTCCTCACCCTGTCCATAATAGGTGACCAAATAATTTCAATTTATTCTTTGCTACTTCCTTTGATATTTGTACAGTCTTCATTGACCACTTGATAATATTAATTCCCGATGAATTTCCTTTCTTCTCACTCTGCATAGTGTAGAATCTTAACACATTCAAGGATGCAGATGGTGTAATTATTTTTAATCACCTATTTAGGCATGTAATGAAACACCATTGGATCAACAATCCCAACAGCACGACCACAAGGTATTTTGGCCATAATATTTGAAGGCAGGTAGTCTGAATTGAAAAACCTACTGAAGAACTAAATTCCTAACATACAGAATTTCCAACATATATAATTTAATATATGGAAAAGAGTCATGGACCAGAGACTGAGAAAAATTGTGGAAACTTGTGCAGGATTTCCCAGGTTTATGTTTGGAGGAAGTACCACCAATGCCATTTTTGTTTTAAGACAAGGGATGGGGAATATTAGGATGGCCAATACAATGTTAAGATTATATTCATAGACTAGACATGACATATGACTGGGAGCCAAGGAAAGAAGTCTGAAAATAACAGTTGTCCTCAAAATAACATATGCTTATTGACTAATGTTCACAAAACATGTAGAAATGTTAAATCCCATTTTTAGCTTCTAGCTATAATGAGTGTAGAGAGATATAGACAAATTAAGTAAATGGATACAAGCTTGGCAGATGGAATATAATGTGGGAAAATGTGAGGGTATGCACGTTGGCAGGAAGAATGGAAGAGTTGAATATTATTTAAATAGAGAAAGACCGCAGAAAGCTGTGGCAGAGAGGGCTTTGGGGGTCCTAGTTCTTGAATTACAGAAAGCTACCATCCCCAGTTCAGCAGGTAATATGGTAAAGCAAATGGAATGTTAGCCTTTATTTCAAAGGCAATGGAGTACAAAAATAGATTGTGCTCAAACTATAAAAGGCACTTGTCTGATGACAACTTGAATACTGAATAACTCTGGCCCCCTTTTATAAGTAGATATATATTGGCATTAGAGGCAGTCCAGCAAAGATTCACTTGGTTGATCACAGATGTGGAGAAATTTTGTTATGTAGGGAGGTTGAGTAGGTTAGACTTGTATAAACCCAAAGTACTTAAGGATGTTGCCCTGGAAATAATGGATGCATTGGTAGTCATCTTTCAAGATTACATAGACAGCGAAACGGTTCCTATCGATTGCTGGGTAACTGATGTAACCTCACTATTAAAAAAGGGGGAGAGAAAACAAGGAACCATAGAGTGGTTAGCCTGACACAAATAATGGGGAAAATGCTAGAGTCTATTAAAAAACATTTAAAAGCAGACCACTTGGAAAACAGTGACAGGATCAGGCAGAGTCAGCATGAATTTATGAAAGGAAATCATGCTTGACAAATCTATTGGAATCTTTTGAGGATGTAACTAGTAAAGTCAAAATGGAGGCAGTGGATGTAGTTTACTTGGACTTCAGAAGGCTTTTGATAATAGCTTTCGCAGGAGAAAACTAAAATGCAAGGGATTGGGTGGGAGATGGTGGGGGAGTGTACTGACATGGATAGAAAACTGGTTGGCAGAGGAAAGTAGCAGTCACTGCCTAGTGGGGTACTATAGAAATCAGTGCTTAGACCTGAGCTATTCACAATATATATTAATGATATAGATGAAGGAACTAAATGGAATATCTCCAAGTTTGCAGATGACACCAAACTGGGTGAGGAGGATGCAGAGATGCTTCAGTATGATTTGGACAAGTTAGGGGAGTGACTAAATGCATGGTGCATGCAATATTGTGTGGATAAAAATGAGTCTATCTACTTTGGCAGCAAAAACAAGAAGGTGAGTTATTTTCCGAGTGGCGATAAATTGGGAAAGGGAGAGGTGCAAAGAGACTTGGGTGTCCT